TGGCACACAAAATATTGACACTTTAGGCACAATTTGGACATGTTCACTGTGGGGTGTACTCACTTATGTTGCCAGCTGTTTAGATGTTGATGGCTGTGTTTTGAGTAATTTTCAGAGGAAGGTAAATCTATACTACTATACAAGCTGTACACTGACTACTTTAAGTTATATCAAAGTGTTATTTCTATAGTGTTGTCACATGAAAAGATATAATGAAATATTTGCAAGAATGGGAGGGGTGTACTCACTTATGTGAGATTATCTGTCTGTCTGTCTGTCTGTCTGTCTGTCTCTGTTGTCTGGTGGCTGATCTCATCCTCTGCTCAGAGGGTAAGGCGCTTCCAAATCTCTTTCCCAAATTGCAGACATTCACAGCCACTGTTCTCTTCTTTGACTTAGCCACTAACAGCTAACAGCTACTTTTTAAATTTCCCACTGTGGGTCACACACATAGCACATTATCAAAATGTCACACTCCTGACCATTATCCCGTCCTGCTGGCTGACCTCTTTATACAGAGACCGTTTTGGCGCTGTTAATACCTCCCATGGTGGCTTAAAGGCAAGACAACTCTGTCTCCCTATTTGGCTATCATACCTTATGTACAGCATGGCAAGGTGGCATAATAGCACAATATTCCCGCCTTGAACAGGTAGCGAAAAAGAGGCTACTAGATCACCCTTTGACCCTAACTTAGACTCAGGAACAGTTAGCAGGCCCTAACCTGGCAGTAAGGAGTAAAAAGTCTACTGATGTTTAATTAGTAACTGTTTCCTCTAAACATCAGGAACAATGGTAACGATGAACATGGAGGGCCTGCAGAGCCTGACGTCAGACGGTGCCACACTGGCAGTACAGCAGGTGATGCTTGGAGGCCACAGTGAGGACGAGTCGGGGGACAGCGGAGATGAGGACGATGACACAGACATGGCTGGGCTGGGCCTGGACAACAGCGACTCGTTGCAGTAGAGGACACACTCCCTCACACTCTGATCTACACATACACACAAGACATGCATAACTAGGTCTACAGATTAAATGTGTTTTTTCCAACACACAATGAATCGTAGTACAAAAAGACAGACACATTAGGTTTACATAGAGCACAAAACTACAGGACGTAACAGTCCTGCACTCTTCCAATCCTCCACCCTGCTGAACAGCAGTTTATGCTGCTTGTGTGTACATCAGGAGTTTCATTTCAGAAACTGTTTTTTAATGATTTAATTGATGTATGCGAGTGCACTTTTTTTTTGTATATTTAAGCTCTAAAAGATTAAATCAAACAGACAGAAGAAAAAGAAGTGTTAAAACACTCAAAGCAAGTTTGTATGCTCCGTTAAAAATGTTGACTGATTTATGTTTTTTCTTTTTCGGCCCCTGTTCCCCATCCCCAGTTAAATTCTCATTTTGGATGCCAACAATTTTAAAGTTGTATCTGTAAGGGTTTGTCTTCACTTTTTGCATGCTTGTTTTGAGTAGATGTGCGCACTCTTGCGACTGACTCCACGGCTATCACAATGGGCCCCTGCAATCCAAGCAGAGCCCCGAGTGGAGAGATTGAAAAATAAGGAGAGATGCTTATTTTTATATACAAACATATGGAATTAGTGTTTTGTTTCATTTTTGTGTTCTCCTGTTTTGTAAGGAATATTTATGTACAGATTCATAATTAAAGCTAGCGACCCTGTTTTCCAGGGTTCTTTGAAGTTTTCTAAAAAACAGTAAAAGGAATTGAATGCTGATGAAAATTGCTATTTAAATTGGTTTTAAACTTACAATACTAACAAGGCCTTACCTGTGTTCTTTTCTTAAGAATTCTTGCTAAGAAGCACAAAAAAAGACTGACTGTTGGTGAAATAGGTCAAAAGGACACTAAACTGCAGAACACTTGCGTGCTTCTATTAAGCATCGTTAATAATTTTACTGTGTAACTTCCCAGTTACCTGGGGTCTCATTTATAACCGATGCATACGCACAAAACGAGAGATCCTACAGAAGTTGGAATCTGTAAAAACAACCTTTATGGATGAATGTGCGCACCTGCAAGGAAACTCTGACCCATGTATTGAAACATTTTGGATTCGGGAAATTGGTGATGCAGATGGTGAGGTGATGAATTGAAGTCAGATTGTAGAAATTAAATGTTAAAGGAATCATATGTATAATGTCTCTCACACATCATATTTCACATCATATCACATGTTGATTATAGACCCACCTTAACAGAAACATTCAGTCCAGTAGTTTTGTTTTGTTTGTCTTTGTGAGCTATAACTTTTACATAAGCACCTTTCAGTTGTAGAAATTACAAGCCAACTCAAATCTTAAATCCAATTTTGCTCAATAACTCATCAATGCTGTATCACCATCCCATCTCACCCTAGGAGCACAGAGAAGAGGGCCTGACTGTATGAAGCTGACAATCATGGCCAGCTGTGGAGTGCATCGTAGCTGTTGAAATGCACACATCAAATAGTATTAAAGAATTGCAGAACAGGGCGTCAGTAGTTTTTAATATCTTCTAATACCGTGCATATATCACCAAGTAAAATTTCAGTTTTCAGATTTTTTTTCTTTTCATTTTTTGTGTGTAAAGTGGCTGCTGTGAACACGACTGTGCTGTCACTGGAGACACTGTAGTGGTTGCCACACACATTGCCTTCTCCAGTCACCTCAACTGCCACATCTTTGCCACCTGTACATATGGACTGTGTAAATGAGCAGTCTGGAAATAAAGCCAGTGTCAGCTCTCACACTATCATTACACTCCATATCCTTATTATGAGTCCTAATAATAATAATAATAATAATAATGCAGGCCAACCTCATCATAACAAAGTTAAATAAATAAAAATGGTCACCTATCGAGCTTCCACTTTAAATGATATCCCAGGGTCGGGGATACCACTGATTGTTGCCATCATTTTCGCAGGGTGTGAGGCGATCAGTCTGATTGTTGTAAATATATAACACTGCAGTTGTTGCCATGAACCCACATGATCAACAGGCTCATTTCTGTGCATCAACATTCATGAGGTGCTTTGCACTGACCATTTATGGTTGAATGTGGGTGTGTAGAAGGTGGGATATGAGGCTGATTCACATGCGAACAATTCCAATTCGTTTTAGGATTTATAAAAGAAAACCACGCACTGGCAGGGATATGCACGGTTTTATAAATCAGAATATTTTTTTGGCACACACCATTTTCAGCTTTTGTCCACACATATACTTTTGGTATGGATCCTACTCACTGTTTTATAAATGAGACCCCTGAGGAGTTATCCTTCACAGTAAGCTGACTGCAGTGCTCATATGTTTTTAAATATAGCTCCAGTTTTACCCTCATTGTGTATACCATACATTAGTCTTTTAATCATTTTACAGTAGTTGCGTACTTTCTTAAATGCACAATCCAGAACACTATGCTAATCACACAATCACAAGGATCTAAGTCACCACAGCAAGATATGAACTGTATTAACAAGAAGCAGTGGACTTTTTGCACGCATTAAACTTTCATTTATGTACACATACTGCATTGAAAACAAAGAACAGTTGGAAAGTTGAGCTCCTTGTTCATTTTCTGCCTGAAGGACTGGGACTAAGTGCTGCAGCCTCTGTTGGTCCCCCTGCCACTATACACACGTAGTGAAAGATTGGAAATCTCCTTATCAATATGTTGATATTACTTCACAAATTGGGGTGCCTCTCATTTTGAATATCTGTAATATTGTACTGTACAACAATTGTCTGTCGATAGTTGGAGTAATCTGGTCCATATCCCACTCGTAAAGTTGAGATTTGAAATGGTTAATTTCATGCAGCCTGAGGGTGTAGTGACTCTGGGTGGGTCCTTGCTGAGCTCTCAGTTCCTCACGTGCGTCTGTCTTGCTTTTTATGAAGCGTTCACTTTTTATTGTTGTTTTGCCTTAGAGCTTTATATTTTGGAATAAATGATGCCTAACTCTCTCCTGTGCACCGTCTCTTTGCCCTGTCAGCTTTGTCCCCAAACAGGTTTTGTGTGGATCAAAGGCTCGGCCATTTTGGTTGGATCTCTATAGTTTTCTTTCTTGTCAAATGTGGAAACATCCAAACAGAATCCTGTGAGAAGAAACGAGCTGCCTCAGTTGTCTGTGCTCAGAGTTGGAGAATTTAGAGCCTCTTCTCTCTGAAAGAAAACACAGAAGTAGACAATTTTAACACAAATGGACACAGACATGGAAACATGGGGGTAATGATCCAGATCTCTGGTAACATGCTAGTTGCAACTGGCCAGATCTAGATCTTTTTCCAGCCCTCCTGGCCAAGCATGGTTCCAACACTTGAATTTTAAAATTTCTACAACTTTAATTTGGGCTAGGTGATATAACAATTATGTACGATATATTTATACAATTTCAAGCAAGATAGAGTTCTCCAGCAACACCAAGAGAGACACAGAGCAGCTACTCTATTTAATCTTTAGGTTAAGTAGTCTACAGTGAGACATCCAATGCTACGCTAAATCAGTCTATGAGATGAATAAAATGACCGCAGCAGCACACACGCAATACAGCGCTGCATGTGGGGGAAGCAGAGCTCCTTGATTGTCAGGTGAGTGTTTGTTTGCTAGTTTTTGTGTGAGGTGGATCATAGTGCATCTCTGTTCTTAGTAGTTGTAGTCTATTGTGTAACACTAAGACAGCGCCTGGATGCAGGCGACAGGTGGTTTTTAAAAAATGCAAAAATACTGACATTTCATATACAAGCCGTATATAACGCGTACAAACTGTCTCTGGCTCCTACCCTCCCTCTGCCTCTCTGTTGATGCTATGTGCATGAATGAGTTTTATAGCCTAAATAAATAAAAAAAATATTTAACTCATTTTCCAGTACTAGATTCATTTTAAAGCCCATAGGAAATAGCTTCTTACTCTCCCCCCCCCCCCCCCCCCCCCCCCAAAGATTTTGAATTGCCACTTACTTGATACTAAATACTCACGTTTTGTGTCCTGTGCTGCAAACCTCTGCCTCTGTAGCTCACGTGCTATGAGCAAAAAATTAACATACAGCTCTGCTATTTATTTTATGTCATTTTTAATTTACATGTTGTGCAGCTGTATATTTTCAAATGGGAAAAAAACTGTCTGCACTTTATTATGATCACAGTCTGTTTGTTTTTTAAAGTGCTTGTGACATCTAAAATGTTACTTTGACTTGCAACTGAAGATGCGGAGAATACTGATATATGTTTTGCATTGCCATTTAGCCTGAAAATACTGAGGTGAATTTTTATCTATATCGCCCAGCCCTACTGTCTAATATGCAGAATTTTGTAAAATGATTTGTGTGGATATTTCCTATAAAAAGTAAAACATTGCACCCTGGGTTTGAAAATGCAGAATATACAATCAACAGTCATAGTGTAAAGTCAGATTTCTCTATGAACTTGAGGGGACTTTTCAGGCAGGTAAATTGTAATGAGGGAATAAGCAACAATGAACATATAAGAAAGTCATTCAACAGCTGTTTACTCACAAACTCTTGCAGGTGATTTTCAGTATTCTCATAGTGAGAAGTTTGTTTCAATGTGGTGTGTGAGAGGGGGCCCAGTTTATGTACTCGTATCACAAAATCTTAATGATGAAAGGGACCAGGTGTCAAGTGTACCATTTCAAAGCTTTTACTACATTAACAGCTGAACTCAGGCAGAGTTCAGCTGTCCTTGGATTCCTTAAGGAGGAGAACCAGCTGTTGATCAAACACCACACAAAAGGTCACCAACAGCTAGTACCCTGCAGTGGTCACTCAGACAAACTGAAGAAACAGTGAACTGTTTAATTGCAGTTTTTGTTTAAATTTTTAAATTCTGTATTAAAGGGATACATTAAGGGGTTCAGCCAGCTTTGTATCAGAATGTGGGCAGTGTCTGTAAATTAACTATGTTAAATTTCTTTTCATCTTGCCAGCACCCAGGTCTCCCTGCTCATTTGCTAGCAAAGATGACGCCTGTCACGTCATCTGGTAGATTCTCAGAGGCATTCAGGCTGCTGCTCGAACTGCAGATTGTACTTCCTTATTTTTGTATACCCACCACTACCGACACAAAGAAAGAAGTGTATTGAGGGAGAGATGCCCTCTCTCACTCTTTCTTTTAAACTCAGACCATACACAGATCAAACTCTAAAACTAAGCTGATTAGAAACCAAGATTATGTCACTGTATTGCCTATTTCTCACCTGAAACTATTCAGAAACATATTTTAGTGCACAGTATAGCTGTAATACAAGAGTTTGTGAACAGGAAGTGGGCGCCATACTGTTTCCAGCATTGTAAAAACAGGCTGAAAAAGATCCAAGGGTAAAACTAAGCAGTGCTGATCAAAAGAAACCAAGACTCTTTTACTGTGTCATCTATTTCTCACCTCAGATGTTTTCAGAAACATATTTTAGTGTACTATTTAACTGTAATGCAAGACTGTTTGTTACTAGCAGGCTGCCATACTGTTTTCGGACGGGCATCTCATTACGTCACCTGCCAGTAGTAGTATTTATTGGTGTGGTGCGGCGCAGTGCATTCTGGTAGTTGAAGGTTTTCTACCTTTTGAGCAAAAGCAAATGCCACAGTCCTTTTTTTTCTCTGATCATATAGCACCAGTTTCAAAAGTATTTGCGTCTTGCTACTACATAGGCAGCCAGTTTTATGAAAAGATCATCTTTCCAGTGGTAAAATGCTTACTCACTTAAAGTCCTTCTTCAGAACAACCTCATAACTTCACCCTCACGATATTTGCGTTTTTCGG